ACACTTTTGCTAAGCTTAGTGGGAAACACTGTGCCCTTGTGACATCCCTGAAGTGCTGAGCGTCGTTTTCACTGCAGCCATTTGTCACCTTTCTTTCCACAATCACGGTCCAAATCTCAGAACCATCTGGCACTAAACCAAAGACTCGACTTCATCTCTCAAAAACGCCACGTATGTGGCTCCTATTGCACATGGCATCTGAGCTACGCAAACTGTTGTGCTTCACCCTGTGTATCGATATCGTAGCGCTCTCCCCTCCTGCTTCACACTCATACACTTCTGCCATTATCTTGAGTGGGATACCACACCTTAAAAGCTCATCAATGCAGATTTCCCCTTGGAGCCTGTTTTTTTTTTTTTTTTTTTTGTTTGTTTTTTTCTCTGATAAGCGAAAGCCTTTCCCTCTCCTTTTTGGGACAGACGTTCCCCCCCCCTCTTCCCACAGCCTCCTCTCTCATGACAGATGACTTCACTCATTCTAGACAGAGCCCTGGATAGGCCTCCTAGGCATGCATACTTAGGGCAAATCCCCAAATGCACACAAGCACACAATTGGTGCAGCTGACCTTGTATAGAGGTTGCAACTTCACTAAAGCCCCCAAAAGCTTCCTAATCCTGTTCCACCGGGCCAAGGAATCAACTGAACCCTCCCTCATCTATTCAGTACCATGCCATTGTCTAACCGGGAGCCGTTCAAGACTAAAACGAGGGTAACATAAAAATGTAATTGAATTATTTTGATCAAAAAACACTTCACTGTAATACATGCAGGCCTCTCTCTTAAATGCATTTCCAGATGAGGTGGAGCAAGACAATTTGTGTGAGCAATGTGGCATCTTTTTAACTGCATTAAGTTAGTTGTAATTGTGACATGTTTTCCCAGTGAAACGGGTTGCCGGTTTTTCAGTTATATCCAGGACGTCCTCCTTTGTCAACATCATGTTCACTTTCCAGTAACTGGTTTTTCCGGATCGGTTCTGACGGTTGCAACTTGCTTGAATAGGTAATCCTGAAACATGTAGAGAGATTTGTTGCAGGTGTATGTTTTGGCGAGAGTGTGTACTTACTACCACAGAGCCAAGAAATTCCTCCCCATTATGTTCTGGCAAGTTTCTGATTCTTTTTTCTCACAGCTGCAATGCGTAATAAAAAGGCAAAAACAAGAGGTCAACCAATGACCCTGCAGAACAGTGTCAGTCGGGTATGTGTTCCTCTATTTAATTAGAGCTTTCCTCCTGAGATTGAGTAGCTGGAGCTGTTCAAAGACCACTTCATTTTACTCCGACAATTTCAGCCATGCACTTAATCATGTCTATCGTTTTTGTGCCTGGAAAAAGTGATTGAGACGTTGCCTTGCTATTCAAAAGTTTCAAGGACTTTAAAATTTCAAAGTTTAATATAATCACCATTATGTTCATTGCATGCTATTGTAAAACCATTGAAGCATCGCCAAATCTTAAAAGTTGAGCTAAGCTGCAGTTATTGTGCTGTGAGTGCCCGTGCCTAATTTTCGAACATAACTCGGAGGACCAAGGACAAGACTGCACCAGTCGGTGTGTGTGAGCGACATTTTAATGAGTGAGCAGTTTGACAGGAAAACTTGGCTCAAGAGTGAAAACAAAATGTGTCAACAGCCCAGCTACAAAAGGATGAAAAGATTGCCGTTTGAATATCTCAAGTCTGGTTTCCAACCTGTTTTTTTTTTTTTTTTTTTTTTTTTTTGTCAGACGTATTGCCCAAGCACCAAATGAACCCAAGTTCCCTTTCACGAGTCATGGTCCAAATTAGAGGCTAATCTTTTTTTTTTTTTCCCACGGGTCACTGGATTCCCGTGGGATTCACGCGTGTGCCAGTCAATTTCACTACAGTGGATACCGCTTATATGGATCAAAAAGCTTGGGACAGAATCATTCCTATACAAATGCTGTTAGTAATCAGTGTTCATTTTGGCTCCTAACTACGGTGATTACATTTTTTATTTTATTTTTTCTTCTATGATACCTCGTGGTAACCCGTCTGCTTTCCAGCTGGCTAGCTGAGGCTATGTGCTGCGTGCACATTGAAATCATGACAGGAAAAACGAAGTCATTTTCGCTTAAAGCTTGTGACTGCCTAAAACGAGACAATGAGACGCAGCAGCAAAATGTAGTATTCCTCAGGCAACATTGTGTCGTCTGCTCAAACACAGAGTAACAGTCAAAACGAATGCACATGTGGTTGAAGCCACGTTTGAAACCGCTGGACTGTATTTTGAAACAGTCAGTAGAATTAAGTAAATAAAAAAAATGACTTTATATTTCTGCAATAAATATACAAATGTCAATTTGATGATAATCTCCATGAGAAATAAAGACAAAATAGGAGGTTTCCACTGTTTTCATCACGTGACTGGGACGGGACAGGGAAAAAAAGTCAACAGGAAAGGGTGGTGGTGAGATATATATATACATATATATAGCTCGCTCTCTCATATCAGTCGCCAGTCTCAAATATAGCAGATTCTGTTCGGCACACATGCACTCTCCAATAGATACATAGTTTTAGACATGTAGAATGTATATGTACTGTCTGTATAATAAGCCTAAATTCACAGTGTAGAATAACTAACTCTTCTTTGATATGTAAATACTATTAAAATGTGTTTATAATTTATTAAATTAAATCTTCCATTAAAGAAAAGTGTATGCTGTCAATTAGAATTCTTAGAAAGGAAACCGACCAAAGAAAATTGCAATCAGTCAATCCCTAGTTTTTTTTTAATGTAAATATGTAGTTCTGATATGATTTAATAACTTATGATGATAAAAGTAAATATCGTGACTTTTTTTTCATACAATTTTACCGCACATTAGGAAAGTTAAGGCTTTAACAATTAGCCATTGCCTCTAGCTATTTCAGCCATATTCAGATAACTGTTTCATCTTCTGTGCTCACTTGCTAATAGTTTAATAACTCTTATAGCTGACTCTGTATATGAGTATTTATATATTTTAATCATAATGTAATTTCCATTTTCTCTAATTAGTTGGGCTCACAATATTTCCACATACCCCCGGGCGTACAGGTTCCCAGAATGCATTTGCTTTTTGAACAGGACTGTGTATCTCTGCTCTGTGTGTTTGTTTTGACAGCAGTTCTTCACCTCTTGTCATGCAACCATGAATGTTAGTTTACTCATGTCACGATATGACACGGAAGATAAACACAGCGTATTGTGCGTTTCATCTGTGCAATCTCGCTGTGTGACTCGAAGCTTTTTCACATTTGTCAGCTGTTTTATGTGTTAAATTCTTTCCCAGACTCCTTTTAGACCAAACCAAGGAAGAGATCATACATATTTATGTGGCTTATCTTTCATCGTTTTGTCTTCTTTTATCTTTTGTAAATCTTGTTTTTCCACAATAAGTCGAAACCGCCTTGTACAGTAACATTGCTATTCTCCTCATGGTTTGTTGTGACTGCTGCGCCACTCAAACTGTGAACCGCAGGAAGCCGCAATAGCAAGAATAGAAATTATCTCTTGTAAGCCCAAAGTCGGCTAACTTTGCCTTGAAGACGATAAGGCTGCTAATAATAAGAGCCTCAGGCTTGGTTGTGGACACTCTTGACTGAGGAAGTAATTAAGTTCAAGCAGTTTATCAGTGGCTGGCCGGAGATGTGCTGTCTATGTGTGATAAAGGGGAGCTGGTGAGGTATGCCCCCTTCTCTCAAGTGTCCACCCTATTTCTCATCCTCTCCTCCTCTGTCGCACTCTCCCACTGCATCCACTTACCAAAGGGTAAGCTCAAAGCAGATCGAGGCTTAGAGCCACACATCTCAGCCATCGTGTCAATCATCCCTCGGCCTGTCCCTCCCCACTCACCTCAAATGTCCAATCAGGCTAATTTTAACCCGTGTTGGAGGGCCGTGTTAAATGTGACAGCATGTCCTTAAGCTTGCCGCCATACAGATCCTTTTGTGCCGACTGTGTGCACGGAAAGACTTTCTGTTTTGCAACGATGTTCCCATGTGGCTGCTATTTTACAGTAAGCAGAATTAGCATAGGAAGGGCCATTTGTGAGAGAGACATGATTAGAACGCCTTTCCCTTTTGACGATCGGAGAAAACTAAAAAAGCTGCTTTTCGCCTTCAGACACATAACTTAAAATGTTAACTGTGTATGGAGGTAGAATACAGTCACTGCTGCTGACACAGTTTGTTATGTAAACAGCTAGGACTTGTGGCAGTTCAATTCAGCTATTTGACACCCACAGAATACTATACATACCCTTTTAATCCTTGACAAAGACTGAAGGTAAACTGGCTTCATTAAAGAGTTTTTAAAATCCTCCATGTGAATTAAATTGCCAACAATAATGTCTGCATTTTCACAACCTTTCATCTTTCAACTGTGGTAAAATGTGGAAATGGGAATAAGAAATAGGATAAGTTAGAAAATGTGGTTTATTATTACAGGACTCCGAGCTAAAGACAGAGTGGGAGGCTCAAACACAGCTAAGCTTTTTTTGTCTTTCAGTGGCTTCATGTGCATCTCTTATCCTGCAACGTTACATAAAGCTGTTACGTCTCTTTTACTGGGATCTAGCCACTGGCCGGCAGCTACATTATGCCCCCACTTAAAGTCACGATATATTTCTAAGTATGGAAACGTTGACGTATTTGTTGACATTGTTGAGCCTTAGTACGGAGAGTGCATTAGCATGAGTACATTATAAAGCAGAGGAGCTGGAAGGCACCATTTCTTGAACAAAGACAGGTATGATGAACGAACAGCAAACAGACAGTCAATATAGCAAGTTGTACATGGGAACATGCTAAATACTTAGTGGGTACTTGGATTCAATTTGGTTCTCTGGACACTTGGAAAGACAGTAAATGGAGATTTTTGTGACTGTATTAGCCACAGACATTGTTTCAGATTGAATCTTTCTTTTCAAACCACTACAAACAAACGAGTATAAAACATTCTTGTGTGTGTTTTTATTTCCCCCCCCCCCCAGACAGCGAGATGGTGACCCTGGACTGCCTGCGTCCTCGTTCTTTTGCTGCGGCCCACCGGGCCTCCATTCAGCGGAACGGGGATGACCCTCGCCTTTCCATTAGCCTGTGTGACCTGAGCCTGCAGCAACAGGAGATGCATCTGGAGGAAGAGGATGAGGAAGAGGAACGGCTACAGCGCTTAAGCTCCGCCTCCTGCCATGTGCCCCAAAACTCTCAAAACTCGCAGCAGTGCTCACTGCTGCCCAGCCATTTGGACACTGATCTGCACTTCCACTCGGTGCACGGCGTCCACGTCACCACGCTGGATAAGCACACGGTGGCGCGGCTGGATCACCGTGGTGAAGAGAGGACCCTGGTGTTCACCAGTCGGCCGATGCACTGCTCAGAGACCGTGTTTGTGAAGGTGAAGGCGGGTGTCACACGGCCCGGGTCTCTCTCTTACGGTGTGACATCATGTGACCCGGCCACCCTGAGGCCCAGTGACCTCCCGTCCAACCCAGAGTCCCTGGTTGACCGCAAGGAATTCTGGGCCGTGTGTCGGGTGGCGGTGCCGCTCCACAGCGGAGATATCTTGGGCTTTGTGATGAACGCAGAAGGGGAGGTCATGATGAGCCATAACGGCATCAGTGCAGGGATGCAGCTGTGTGTCGATAACTCCAGACCCCTCTGGATGTTCTACGGTCTGCACGGCACCTTCACACAACTCAGGATTTTAGGTACGAGCTCACTACACTTAGGTTGTGTGTTAACTGCATAGAAACAGCTTTATGATCTTAAATCTGTTTGGGAATGCAACGCAACGGTTATTATTCCCTCCAAAAACAACTAGTCCTCAAACATTAGTAAGTATATATGATGACTAGTTGTTTTTCATTTTGTTTTCATTAATTTCAGTGCCTTCTTATTACTATTCAGAGTTATGTGTGAAGTTCTTGGACTATGGAAGAAAACCCACAACTCAAAAAGAGACAAACTAAGATTTTAGCCTTATTGGTACAAGAAAAAGTACATACACAGATCAATATTTCATATTTGCATTAGTTTTAGCAATAGTTTGACTTTTAAATCAAATCACGGTTCAAGGAATTTGAGCATGTTCCATAGATCTTAACACAATTTCTATTCAGAAGTTATTGCAGTCTGAGATCCTTCAATGACCTTTGGAGGCTGAATTCCCACTCGGCCTAGTCATGAAATAGTTTCCCCCTCCTTAGCCGTGTTCTCTGCTCCCTTGAGTTTTTATCAACTCATATCTCTTGGGAATTTACATTCTACGCCCTCACAGTTTGTATCCTTTGTTGAAGTTGAGTTTCTGTCAGCGCCGTTTGATTCCAGCAGATTTCACACAATGATATACCGGAAGTTAATCATCCCTGGATGTGGGACAGGATGAGAACATATAATGTCTAATGGTTTCAGGAGCTGTTGAAAATGGTGGTTTAATGTCAAGCAGTGGTTGTACGTTTTGGTATTATTTCCTCTCCAAAATAATTTCTGGGTTCTTTTGATTTTGAAAGTGAAACCATACATGTTATGAACCACACACAGGCTAAAGCCATGCTTTTGGTGACGTGAGAAACAGTTTTTTTGTTTGCCTCCATGTGAAGATCTTTAGATGATTTTATTGTCTATTTCTGCACAACACATTCTTTGTATGTTGTAGCAATGTTCCCCTATAGTTTTGAGAATTTCAAAAGTCTCCGATATGGCAAGTTTATTTTCTAGGACATTGAACACATCTTCAGCAAAAAGTTAAAGAAGCTTCACCACGTTTTGTGCAAATCCAATGCAAGTTTGAAATATTCAGTACGTCTCACCCGGTTTTTAAGAGTTCTGCACTTAAAAGGATTTTAAATTCTCCATTTTTCATAAGATGGAGCTCCAGCATTTCTTCGACTTAGTATAATGACTGAAATACTGCAGAGTGCTTTTGATTTGTGTGCAGTCGCCACAGATGAAGAAAATTCATCTTAGTTCTTTGAAAACAAGATTCCTCCACCCAGTGTTGTCGTCTAGCTAAGTTCGCCCTCTTTCTTTCTTTTTTACAGTTAATGTATTACTACAGGCAAACCTTTCTTAGAAACTGATGTTAAAAATACTTTGGTTTGTTTAGAATTAGTTTAAATTCTGTCTGGTGATTCATTTGTGGATTTCAGTTTTTCCTCTCTTTCATGTAGTCAGTCAGACCATGGCTGAGGAGGTTATTTCTGTCATGCGTGGGCTACCAGCAGCCAGCGTTATGCCTCAGGATGGGGTCCTTGATAGCGCCTTATGATGCCCTCCATATGCATTATTAAAATGTAATTGCAAAGAGGTTTGAGATGCTGGGTTTTCCACCCACAGTTCGTTCCCTTAACACTCGTCCGCCAATCATCTCCTTTTTTTTTTTTTTTTCCTGTGCATTTTCTTACACATCCCGGACCCCCCGGTGGCACACGCCACCCGTTCTTCAAGTCATTAACCACTCCAGCTGTGGGGAGTGCATTTGTGATGTCTCTGCTCACCCACTCGCTGGAGCCCCATGCCACGAGTTGCCATGGAAACAATTGCCGGTGAGGCAAGTGACAGTTTGTCATGGCTGGGTGTCGTCGAGCCTGTGAAGTGGAACAGATGGGAGTCTGTTGCTCTCACATAATCATTTTGTCCGTGTTATCTTTATAATTTCATGCGAGATATTTGGAATCAATAATGACCTTTTGGTAGTTGTGTAATCTTAAAGCTGCTATAATCAATATTTTTTTTATATGAACAATTGATCAAATTTGAAAGGGGGTCACACTGAGTGACAAACCTACGGGGAATTATCACCCGACTCTGAAGCTCCCTTCAGCTCTACGGAGGGTTTGGACATCTTTTAACTGATTGCTGGTTTTCCAGTCCTCAAAGTCATTCACATGCACCGCTCTGATCGTTTTCGGGTCCATCAGAAAGCTGATTTCAGTGACAAAGCTCCAAACCTGTACGACACAAAGACACGGTTAGCGGCTAGCTGGTGCCCAGAGGGAAGCCTTTAAGCTAGCTGCTTAAAAGACATATTTCCCAGAGCAAACATTCTGGATTTACATTCACTAGGTGGACACAAACTCAACCCTATGAATACTAGTGTTGCTCCATAACCAGTGTTGTCTGATCACATCCCAGACCAATCACAACTTAAAACCATAAAAAACGATTACATGCGCAACTGAAAACCCATCACAAGCTTCATATATCTGCATCTAATAACCAAATATAAAATGTATATAATAATTAGGCTATTGCTACCCAAAAAGAGTGCAGTCAGAAACCCAAATGCTCTTGTCAATGTAAATGATGGCGACATCATGGTAAGTAGGTCCTCCGTTATCTCAGATTTAATACAACTCATGTCATTCTAGAATTAAATGAGTAGATAATGAGTCTTATGCCTAATGTTGCAGCCTAAATTTCATCTACTAGCCACCCAACTTACTCAAAAATAGCTAAATTGTCCGGAAACCAGCCCAATCTGGCAACACTGTCCGCAATTGCTGAATGTGTAAATGAGCAACTGTTTGCTAACAAGTTTGCCACGTCGGCTCAAAAAGTTATGTTCGTGTTGTGTTTACAAGCTTGTTTCTGCTGCCCCCAAGTGGCCAAAGAATTATTTATTGCAGGTTTAAAACCTGAACAACAGATTGCTTATTTGATAAGCAAGTGTTGAAAGCCACCACATGCTCAACCACATAAGTCTCCTGTACTGCCTGCATAACTAAAGACAGTCACATACTCATTCTGGTCAAACAGCCAGCACTAAATTCATAATACAATACAAGACAAGACGAAAGGTATGCTTGATGAAAGGGTATATGAATAGACATGCAGGTTTTCCATTCTGCCTTATTAGAGTCGACCAAGACATTTGCTAACAGCCGGGCTGCCACATGGATCACGATAAGTAGGTAATGGAATGGTGTGTAAATGCTACAGTACGACTACTCGTCTCTGTATCCACTTTAAAATATAATAATATAAATAAATAGAGGACTCTCAAAAAAGCCCGTCTCAGCAAAGTGGTACAAACACATTGATCTCAGCACTAAACTAAAAAGCACACAAATTATGGAAAGGTTTTTGTATAGATTACCAGAGGTCCTGTATTCGTGCATATTTTGCCACGTCTGTTGATTCTTTAAGCAGCAAGTCGTTTGTTGCATGACAAAAAAGCTACTATGGTTTGTTTACGTAGGCTGAAACTGAGACTGCAGTGTTTGGAGTGGTCCAAAGAAAATGCACGACTTCAGAGCAGTGGATCGGAGCGCGTAGCTAGAGTTATGCAACAAACTGTATGCATTGTTTTGCTAACAACAGACCACAGAAATGTGTCTCTTATTTTAAACCAACAGTATTTTTTTATTTCAGCAATTTCTCACCATCTGTGGTCCTTTTTTTAGTCGTTTCTCCACTCAACACTGTCATTGTAGGAAAGTTTGGACAAGCAAATTGTGGTGTGTGTGTGTAAGGATGTAAACTACCAATATTAGATCATTTGACACATGGAAGGACGGTGGTGCCAAGTGAGCGGCCAGCCCGACAGGGTGGCAATATTTCTGCCATGGTCAGTTGAAGGGCAATGTATAAACAACAATGGCGTGTTCCTGCCAGGCAGGCTGGATCAGAATTTGTCCGCCAATATGAGAACTGATGCCAGAGCCGGTGGGTATGGGGGAGCGGATCACATGGGACAGACAACAGATCGTCTGTGAAAGCATTTTGTACCCTACCCAGAGGGATCATGGGCTCATGAAGAAAAGAGGGGGGGGGGGGGGGGGGGTCCCCGACGAGACTACACCAACTCATGGGCTCTTGACTCACACACACACACACCCACACGCAGACGCTGTGGCCTCACAAGTCATCTGCTTGGTAATTGAGATTTAATGTATGTGTGAGAGTGAGAGAGAGAAAGAGACAGACAGTAACAGAGATGCAACAAGATATTCACTCACCTCCATTTGCTAATTATCAGCTCTGAATAACTCCTCAGAGTGTGAAAGATGAAATATTTGATTCCCAGTTCTGAAAGCATTGCATTTGGCTCTTTTTAACAGTTACTTTCATAGATTATCTGTATGTTGCGAAATCTTTGTTGTGACCCAGATATCTATTCTTTACCTTCAGGCTCATCTCCACACCCGGACCCACGAGGCGTTTCGGTCCCCAGCTCCCCATCTTTTACACCCAACACCCCCACAATGCTTGGCAGCGGCAACTCTGAACCCAACCTCAACACTCCCTTGAACATCAACCTCAATTCAAGCCTCAACTCCAGCTACTACACAGTCTTTTCCTCCTCCACAGGTTTGTCCAAGTGTTTCACTTTACTCCTCTCTCCATCTTCCCTCTAGCATTACTCCCCCCCCCCCGGGAATTTCTGTCCAGATGTTTGTTTTCTTTGTTTCTGAAATTGATTAAAATGCAGACATGCAGGAGGACAATAAAACAGCCGTGACAATAAAACTATTTAAATAAAAAGCTGTGAACCCAGACTTCGCTCTTGTTAAAAGCTGCAGACAGCACGACAGGAAAACTTCTGGCAGATAATGGCAGCACAAGAAGCTTAATTAGCAGAGAAAAACAGTAGGGATGGTATTAACAGTTTAAATAAAAAGCTACACTGGATATATGTGTCACACATGCGAGCGTAGCAATACAACTACAGTTGTCTGCCTGAACTGCTTGGGAGCCTTCCTCCAATTTTTGGCATTTCTTAGTAAAAGTTCTCCCTTTCACACATCTCCAATGTCTTCCCTCTAAGGTACAACACCAAGCTCTCCATTCTCCAGCCACCCAGAGTCCCCTACCTTCCCATCCTACTCGGGCTCGTGGAGCGACGAATGCAGCATTTGCTACGAGAATGTGGTGGACACAGTCCTCTACGCCTGTGGACACATGTGTCTCTGCTACACCTGCGGCCTCAAACTCAAGAAGATGGCCAACGCATGCTGCCCCATCTGCAGGAGGACAATCAAAGATATCATCAAGACCTACCGGAGCACGTAGGCTTGTGTGAAGACAATGTGTCGCATCGTCGGGTTCAGCTCAAGGTTTTCAAAGCCATGTAAGACTTTGTAAAGTCGGATGCAGCACAAGTGAAATCCCCGCTTGTTTGTGTGTGCAATCTTGCTCAGGTTACTCTACAACAGGACTTAAAAACTCCATTAAAACATTAGAGATGTGTTATGGCTAATGCACATTCTTGGGAATCTCACAGTTCCTGCCTATGGCGTCTCACAGTAAGGACCAAGCAATGAGGTTCATCATAACGTGTGATCAACTGAAACAAAATATGTGCAGGTACTGCAGATAGGACCATGACCTACTATTGTCTAGTGACTCAGTGATTTGTGCATCTGTTGAAGAGAAAGAGGCATCTGTCCTACTTCCTGCAGAGTAACCCTACATTCTGCTGGGGATAGTGTCGCTGCTATCTCGTTTTAGAAGACGTAAAATTGTCCAGAACTGCGCAAGAAATAAGGAGAATAAATGTGTTCTCACCAGCTGCTCCTCCACAGCTTGTCAGAGTGCATTGGGTCAAAAACTGTTATTTTAGGGTAAGAATCAATTCTGTGAGTTAGGTTAAATTGGACATTTCCTGAATGCTTCCACAGGCCAGTGAGTTTTTATGGTGAAAACTTTGCAGTACGTCTAAAATAAGCCATTTAAAAAAAAAAAAAAATCTTCCTCCTGCAATGAAACACAATGCAATGCCTACACCTAAAAGAGTAAAGAATAAATAAATACATTTATTTTGTTGAATATCTTAGTACCTGCTGAAAATTCAGGCAAGGTTAGATTGTGCAAAGGGTAAAAAAAAGTGTGAGTGTTGTCACCATAGAAGGTCACGCTCGAGGTGAAAGAGGCTGTAAATCAGTGAAGAAAGAGCGAGGGAGGATGTTGTATGTTTGGGACGAAGACAGTGGAGGAAGGGGTACCTTTTGGTGTGTGTCTGCACATCGTTTCAGTGCAGAGAAAGTGTTTGCCCACTCAGGCACACCCCATACATCAGAGGTTTGTATGAAAGCCATGTGAAATGTGGGACTTGCATGAGTTGCATGTCCCGCTTCTTGGCGGCCTCAGTGAGCCGGCTGGATGCTGCAATTGCACAAAAGTCATTCAAATAAACATTGGTGGGCAGTGAAGTATTTTTAAAATGCTGAACGAGCACATCGGGATGACGACTCAACCTCTCCATCGTCGCAAGAAACCCCATGAAACCCCACTTATAAGTCACAGATAGCTGTGCTTGCTTCAGATTACACACTACTCTTTCATATGTACATACAAATTAAACATGAATATTTGCTTTCAGTGGTGACGTATTTCAGCACACTGTGTCTTCAAGTGGGGGGAAAAAAAAAAATCACTTGAGTGCAGTCAGTGGCAAGGATGTAGCTTGTTATTGTGGGACATTGCGAGACGCTCATTTGCATATCAGTTTCTGAGTGCTGCTCTTCATCTGTAAAAGCAAACTCCAAGGACATTTCCCCTCGACTAATCTCGTGCTTCTTTGAATTGTTAAGAAATACAAGCTATTTTCAGGTGTTCTTTTGGCCTCGCTGAAACATTACTCAGTAATTTGTTAATTAGTAAGTGCTGATTTGTTTTTGTTTTCCAAGGTGTTGAAGCTTGTCATTTTGCCGCTGTGGTGGAAAATTAGCAGCTATGTCGTACAATATTTGCGTCACGGTTAAGTTTTCTTGTGTGCCTTTTAAAAAGAGAAGTCTGAACACACTTTTGGTCTGTTAAGGCTCCTCGCTGTGAAATCCAGGATGTTCATATTTATCTTATAGTCATTCTTAGATGGTTGTGACGTCTCTGGTGTGAGCAGGTTTAGCCACACAACCTACAAATACAAACGTTTCAGTGTGCTCAATATCAGTGTGTGAATTCATTCACTGCTAAAGATGAAATGTTTGAATGTCGCCTTGTCCCCCTCCGTCACTGCATTGCATAATACTGGAATTTGTTGTGCTTGAGATGCTCAGCCTTTTATACGTTTAACTTTTATTGTTTTTCTTCCTGACCAAATATGACCTAACAGAAATTAAATATTTGTGAAACATTTCTGATAGAAAAATAGTCTAGATGAGTGAAATATTAACTGTACATGATGATTTTTATTTATTTTGTCAATACTACTATAAAGAATTATCACAGTTTGTTTAATAAGTAGGGCTATAGTTTCCAAAATGTAAGAATAGTGTTTATTTTATTGTTGCATAGTTAAAGATTATAAACCTTTCTTCATCTGACATGCTCTGTGGATCTGTCCAGCTGATTTTAACTTCAAGGAATAGTTTGACATTTGGGGATCTACGCTTATTCACTTTCTAGGAGAGTTGGATGAGAATATTGATACCTCTCTCCAGTACTACAGAACGTACTACTGAGTAGTTCTACTCAAGTACTGTACTCAATAAGTTATGTGTACTTTGCTTAAGTATTTCCAAATGATGCTACTTTACACGGGGGATATATTGTGTTTTTAACTTTTTGCTTATACACAATTGCACCAGTATGAATCATTGCAATATTCGATGTAATAATATAACTCTGATGGGAGTACTTTAACTTTTGATACCTTAAGTGCATTTGACATTTCGGTATTAGCATAAGTTACAACTTTTACTTAAAAACAACCATAATCACTATTTTTACAATAACAATGTATCAAATGCCAGTTAAACAAATCTAAAAACGAGCAAGCTTTAACATGTGAATTAGTGCATGTTGGATGTGCTTGTAGGCAGATTTTGTAATCTTTGAGTTAGGGGTGTAAATCAACTCAATAAGTTATTAAATTCTTTCTTTTGACAATGATACGATCCAATTTTGATTTGATTGAATTTAGGGGCCTGCGATCGATACGAGACGATATCATACGGCCATTTAACACAATCGGTGACATTTATATCAACTCACAAAAAGCATCTAAAATATGATTTGACAATTTTATTACCGGGCTCTGTAGGAAGGCGGTGCGCTTGGACAGAAATTGGTGACACAAATGTGCCACATGAATTTCAAAATAAAGGCATATCTTAAAGATGATTATATTGATTTCACTTTGCATTGATGATATTGGATCATTGATCATTGAATCCATGTATTGATCCAGATAGATGTAGCTTTGCACCACTACTCTGGACTGAGCCAGACTAGCTGTTTTCAGTCTGTGGCCACTTGCCGGACAAGTATGAGAGTCGTATCAATCATTTTATCTAATATTTTGCCAGAAAACGAATAAGCGTATTTTCCAAGATGTCAAACGTTTCCTTACATATCATATAGGCTACTAAATGATGCTATTAAAGAGAATACAATGTGTAAAGGTGGCATTGGTTACCAATTAGTTGGTGAAAGATATTAATTGTTAAGGCTTAGGCTAGTTTGTCCTACTTGTGCATATTTAAATTCTATCTTGACTTTGTGTTGTAGTGAAGCAGACCTGCGTAGTTCCCATATACAGTATGATCATAATTCTGATAGTTTTTCAAATGTGACCAAATGTTTGCTGTCCAAACAAAACAAAACCAAGTGGGCATTGTGCATTTTGGAACAAGAAAATCAGCTCATAACTTTGGGTTCCTTGGCTTGGAATTTATATTAGTTGTTAAAAAAAAAAAAACATTCTTACGGTTGTTTAATTATGTTCAGTTTGATAAATAAAGTTGAAGTCTGAATTACTGGCTTTTTTTTCTTATTTATTTTTCACATTGAGCTCATACAGCTGTTCTTTATGTACAAGAGAAAGCCTGTTGCCTACTTCGGTTCGTGCATTTGACTCGAATTACAATAAAAAGTTAAAACTAACCATTTCACAGCTATCCCTTATTATGTTTTTTTTGCACAGCAGGAAACAAGTCAATCTGGCACAAAAGATAGGGAATGAGAGAGCATAAGTGCCATTGTGTTTTCCCAAAGCGTGCATGGTTGACGTAATGTCTAATGCAAGAAAATTCAAAGTAGACAAAAGTTAGAGAACAAAAGGGCAGCCATCTTTAACGGAACCACTCGCCGCAGTAGTGTACTTGACTAACACGCCCTCCATATACTATATGAATAACAAAGGCAAGGGCTTTTAGTAAACAGCTATAACTCACTGAGAAACTGTTTAGAGTTGTGGTATGTAGACCTGGCCAGAGTGAACATCATCGGTTATTTACGAGCCTGCGGGCTTGGCTCTAATGCAGCACTGTTTTATGCTGCACTCCAATAGGCACGAAGACAACCCATGATGTCCGGACATGAAACAGGCAGCGGTGGCTGCCGTTCATGGCCAAGTGTTCTCAAAGGTGCGAGGGTAATACACAGCCAGGATCTGTGACAGTGACATGAATACAGTATATCTTACTGGTGTCTGTGTACACACAGACTTTCCACTCAGACCTCTCAGTGAACCTGGCTGCCGGCCTTCTGAAGGCTTAAGGGCTTGGCAGACTTGTTTGAGCTGCGTTGTGGTATCTCATCTGGACAGCTGTTTGGTCAAACGCACACGCTGTCTACTAATGTATCGAATTTGTATTCCAAAAAAAAGAGCGAGGGTATGGATTTTGAATTCTAACTAGACATCTGACAGTCAGAGTTTGAGTTTGTTCCTCTGTTCTAGTTAAGGCTTTAAGCTTCCGGTGTTCAGCGTGATGTAAAAATCATTTCCTCGGGTGAGATTTGCAGTGTCGAGGGACAGACTGTGAGGAGAAGTGCAATCATATTTAAAAATACAACTTTGTTCACAATGCAAAAGGGATCTCAACCCTACATCCTCTAATTGGGGTTGATGAAGACAGAGTTGAAGGTTACTGTGATGCTTTGCTCAATCTGTAATGAGAAGCTGAGTGCTGCTGCCCTCCAGAGGCCAGAAGCAGCTCCAGCACCTTACGGAGAAACCCTCAAAGACAAAACCATCAGCAAGGATTTAATAATGTCAACAGACTGGGAAGAGGTTACTTCACAGTAATGCTCACAGTTTTTCAAGGCACAGTCAATATGTTTAATTTTTATCTTTTAAGGTGCTGTGAAAAACAAAATGTACAAAAACCTTCAGAGTTAGGAACCGGCACTACATTTCAATTACAAACAATGCAGTCAAACTGATTGTGTTGCCATCGGGCCAACGGGCCATGGTTAATGTGGAACCCTGCCTTTGTATTCATATATTCACACTTTTTTCCTGTCTGGTATAAATAATATCAATTTGTCAAAATCCTTTTGACTCAAAGTCTACTTACTGTAGGTTTTTTCCCCCAGAGCTTCAAATCACTTCGTAAGTCTTCCTCAATATGCTCAGCTGTCAGAATACTATTTCTAAGCTCAAGAATGAACTTCCACACACATTACATTATACTCATTCACAACAACCTGTGACACAATGACTGACACATCACCTCCACATTTTATGTTATAAACCTCTTGAGGGGTCTTTATCTCACCTGCAACATGTTTCATTTCCTTTTCGTTCTTTCCAACTCCTGTGATTTATTATTTGCAATAAACACGTATATTCTACACATGAGTACAACAAGCAAGCATACAGACACACAGCCAGCAGACAAACATGGTATAAAGATGATCAACGGGCATCCATAGCTTCGTTCCAAGCCAGTGAGTGTAGTATGAGATCCCAATGGAGGGAACAGCCAGTGGGATGGACATATTTCACATTGAACTCCTGTAG